ATCCACCTGCCACTCAAGCAGCCGCGCCCTTAATTATGCAGAACTTTAAGGCTTAATATAATTTAAACGGATGAGTTATAAAAAAAATTCACCCCCCTCACAGTTGTCATGAAGGGCAAAATTAGCTATATAGACCAAAAGCACTTTTTGTACCAGGCTGTAAACATTTTTTTCTGCTGTAAAGTTGGGCATTTTAACATGGGGGTCTATGGGACTGACTCCCTTTTAGAGCCAGCCTCTAGCGGCCAGTCGATGAATTCCAGTTTTAGTCACTTCCGTGTTGGCTTCACGAGAGAGACCAGGAGGTTGGCACTTGCCTGAGACGCATGTTAACAACAGGTGTAAATGGAGCCTCAGATTCATAATGAACACAGGTGTCATGCATCCCGAGTGAAATGCATGAGCGGTGCATCAGCAGTGTGCCTCTGCTGTATCTCGGGTGTTTTAAAGGCCTCTCCGACCATCTCTGAGGCAGCCCTGGTAAAGCCCAGACGTGACTGTAGCACCCACAGCAGCCCGAGGCAGATGAGCCTCACCGCTGCAGGACCGCGTGCTGTGCATCTTTACTTTAAACAGACCCAGCTGCAATGCACGCGCATGCATGCAGGAATGCACCGGCCGTCTACGAGTACAGGAACGAAGGTACAGTGACGGCACAGATAATCATACCTGCAGTACAGAGAGAGCTCCGTTCTTGCCGAATCCCGAGCACACCACCACCTCCAGATCCGGCTCTGGGTTAGTCTGAAACTGATGGAAGAATTGATGTCGTATCACAGTTAATCAGAAACCAATATTTTCTCAACCAAACTGTTAATGCAACTAATAGTTTGAGACTAATTATGTCTTTTTTTTCATACTGTAGCATACTCAGGGTTCAGTATTAAAGGGGTCATATGATGCGATTTCAATTTTTCCTTTCTCTTTGGAGTGTTACAAGCTCTTGGCACAACAGCACAGATATCTGAACCTCATACAACACAACCATGAATTACACTACCTGCCCAGTTAGCCACGGAATCCACTCGCTTTTTCTTATTCGGAGGCTCCTCCTAGAAGATCGAGATATTCAATACGAGTAAGAAGCTTCAGATCCTTCTTACAAAAGACTTGATTTGCTTAAAAATAACATTTTATGAAAAATGTATTGTGAATGACAAAACTATCCTATCCTCTTAACCTCTTAACTGTTTATATGACTGGCAATACCAGTATTGTACAACAGCAGAATTAGACAAACTATTGCTGTAGCTTATATGCGTTTATTCCCTTAAGAAAGAGAAGTGTGTTTAACTGAATAAAATACACACTTGTAGTGTACTTCAAATACTCTACAAAAGTATATATTTAAAAAAAAAATGCAGAAAATATAATATTAATTAAATAAAAGGTCACTTAATTGAGTGTTTAACACACTTAAGTAGACTTTAAAAAAAAAGTGCAGTTTGAAATTAAGTAAAATTAAACGTTTTTCTTTAACAGTGCATTTCAATTTATTATTTAATAATCTTTTGTCATGCTTTAAATAAGAGCTCTTATTTTGACTAACACACATGTAAAGATTATAATTTTAACTGTGGTGTGATATATTACATTTAAAGTGAATATATTTGAAATGTACTAAAATGCATCTTTATCATTCCAAATATGTAATTCCAAATACATTTAAATACAATTCATTTAATTTACATTTTCTTTCATTTCAATTAACATGCAATGAACTGTCTGAAATGACGCTGAGTTCACACTTAAGTCTATTCTTCTAAAGTATATTATTTCCACAATAAGTCTTTTTAAAAGTATGCTAAAGTGTCCTTCTCTTCACACGGGTTCACACACCTGTTTCTCTTTCTCCTCGTTCTCTCTGCCCTCTTCCATTGGTGTTTCCTGGAGTTTCTCAGTGTACCTGAGCAGCAGTGAGTTGCCCAGACGAGAGCCCAAGAACAGATAACCGGCCTCCATGGTCGTCATCTGAGAGGAGAGAGATGGAGGGAGTGTGTGAGTGTCTGTGTTCAGGCGCAGAGTATTAGCGACCGATGCTTTCTAAGAGTCGATCTGGCACAGCTGATCACTCACACAGGTGCTCAGGACGCTGGCAGCAGCCTTATCGAAGTGAAACGCCCGCACGCTCCTCATGCCATCTGTGATGAGCGTCAACACGTAGCTGCACACACAACAAGACACGCGTCAACAAACATGGTCAGAACTCTGACCCAAACGACCGGTTTACACCCATTAGGTTTGTATGTGACATAAAACATGGCGTCATGTGACATTAGGGTCATAAAAGCAGAAGTTCTCACATTTCTCCTCCTTTTAGTGAGATGACCATCTTATCTGAAGTGATGAAGGATGCTTGAGAACAGTCCAGCGTGATCTTCACTTCCTCCTGTGGCCCTGAAGAGCAAACCAGACTGAATTAGAGTGAAGCTCATCAATTAGTAATCCTAACTTTGACTGTAAAGATGTTATTTTGGGGACGGAAGCAGTCTCCGGTGAACTTACTCAAGGGGAAAGCTGTGGTGCCGCTGGTCTGACTGTTGAGTGACACTCCGAACGGAGGAACGCTCTGGTTTAGATACAGCAATGAATTCACAGCGAACACCACAACTCCACCTGAACACAAAACACAAGACATTATCATGCAAGCAGCTTCAAGAGATGCACGCTGGGATGCTTTTAAGCAGTATTAAAAGTATTGGAGATCCATGTATGCTGAACACTTGTTGACTGGTTTTCCTTCACTTTCTGGTTAAAATCGCCCAATTTATGTATGTCTACAAAACTAATTTCAAGTATTCAAGCACAACAAATTAGATCAGAAGGTCTTCAAGATCATAAATCAATGTTGCTCTTAAAATACGAAATAAATTATATCATACTAGTGCTTGTGGAGTTAGTATTGGCTAAAATTCATATCGTTTAAATCATACAGGCTTCCCAGACAGACAGACAGAACATAACGACCGACAGACAGACAGACAAACAAACAGACAGACAGACAGAGAGAGAGAGAGAGATGATAGAACATAACGACAGAAAGACAGACAGACAGACAGATAGAGAGAGAGAAAAAAAAAT